AAGATGAAACAATCACACCACACAAGTACTTTGTTATCAAGCTTATAGAGTTAATATCTTGGAACAAAGTTTTATAACTCAACTAACAAACCAAACTCTATGCCTTAAGATATGAATGAAGGCGTTAGAGTGACGCACAACAATAACACAAACAAAGACTCAAAAAATAAACAATAACACAAGGAATCTTCAATACTTGCACACCTCAAACATGAGTTTGAGTTTCCTTAAATAGAAATCCAATTCCAGGCTTTTTCCAATGGGCATTAACAAGTCTGATTTCGTTCAAAATTATAGGAGATTCTATTTTGATTTGTTTCTTAACAACCTCCAAAAGTATGATTTGTTTTAATTCAAATTCAAATTCAAATATCCATTTAAATTGAATTGATCTTAGCCAAACTTTAATAAATAAATCCTCATAAATGCATTGCTAAAATCTATATAGCAATAATTCTGATTGAAATCAATCAGAAATTCTGCATCTAACAACATCCATCATGGCCTGCTAATAAGGGCCAGATGTTGCAATGCACACATGCTGAAACATCGTGTTTCACATGTTACACCAGAACATCTAAAATAACTTTCTTTATTAAAGTCTTCTTTGGAGAGTAAATATTGGACTAAAAATCTGAACCAAAACTTCATTTCAAAGTAAATCCAGTCAAATCTTCTTTGACTAAATCAAATCCATGTCTTTTAATTAAATCACATCATCCATATTCATCATTTAATAAAAGCTTTTCCAAATTGATTTGGATTAACAAACTTCTTCCAAAAATAAACTCATGCATCTTCTGAAGACGTTAGCACCCCAAAAAATCTGAAGGAGACATGGAGATAATCATAACCCAAACCTTATACCAAGATGTCACACAACATGCACTGAACATCTTACTTACAACTAAATCTTTCAGACAATCACTTTAGTAGAAACTTCGACTGAACAAACATTCTTAGAAACAAAAACAATCATGCTCAAATTTCTTCATGAAATCTAGCTAACACACTAAGGCCAGATACTGGAACATCTTATTTCACATGTTGCCTATGCACAAAAATACATCTTGTACATATGTTATTTTACTAGATACAACCAATAAAAGGTTAAAAACATGATATGGAGAATATGCAGAGAATGCATCCTTACTCTGCACCAACTTCAAAACAAAGGTATTACTTTTTCAAATATTTATGTTTTATATGATAATGGCATCAATGACTTTTTGAATGTCTTTTTAAATTGTTATAACAACTAAAACATTTGACACTAAACCCCATTTATTTTGTTATATGTGAGGTAGACAGTAGTGGAGCTAATTCTCATGGAACTTTTTTCAACATCATTCAAAATTTATCTATTAATGTTATTTGCGGTATTTGGATACAAAATAATAACAACCTCTGGAGAAATATTAGCGAGCAACAAATGACAATTCTTAATATAAGGGATTTGTTATTCCAGTTATGATAAATTACTAAGGAATTCAAAACAACACATCCTCATTCTAATCAACCTATTTCTAATAACAAGTGGAGTAAGTTACTAAGAAGCAAATTTAAATATAATGTGGATACTTCTTTTTTGTCTCCAGACAACATGGGAATTGGTGTTTGTATAAAAAGTGAGCATAATGCTTTCTGTAACACCCTTTAACCCCACATAGATATAAATATCATAATCAAAGTAAATTAGCATACATCTCAAAGAGGACGCCACAAATGACTTTACAAAACGATAAAGAAAATTCAAATATGCATACTGGTCATGATCATAACACGTATTCAAATTCACGTTTTATGCACCAGTACAAAATATGCATCTCACAGCAGAATAATCATCTCAATATAAATATATAAATGATTGAAATCATATACTGACAATTATATCATAAGTACTAGGCACTGAGGCCAAACATCACATAATCTCATACATATCCAAATATAAGAGAGTAATAACAAACATCTCTCAAAACAAATCAAACATGAGTTCGAATATCTTCTGTGTTACATAGGCCAGAGTAAGGACTCACTAACTAAGAATAAGTAGATAACTAAGGATCTAACTCCTTCTCTAATCCTGGAAAGAAGCAACACTATCTCCAGTACTTGAACAATGTCGTATAAAATATCATTCTAATAAAAGGGTGATAATTCATATTATTATCAAAATATATAATCATAAACAATGTAAAACATACGTACAACGATAAAATTCACCACACTTCACATAGTCATGCATTTGACATAAACATAAATCATCATATATGTTCTCATATACAGCATAACTCATTCATTCATATTTCAAATATAATCAATCACCGTTATCACAAATATATCAATCAATTCAATCATCACACATTTCACACCAACCACAACATTCACTCAGACATCACATAATGTATAATAAATCAATAATTCATATTGATACATGTGACTCAAATGCAACTCAAATGAATTATGCATGTGGTACCAAATGTTATCCTTGTCGGTCCTGCTGAGTCCATATCTTCAAGACAGATAACCACCAATAAAAGCCCGATTCAACCTCAAGCTTTCAAACCCCATTCAGCGTTAGGTTTGGGACAAGTCAATAGTCCCCATGGAATTATCAAACCTTGCCTCTTGACACAAATGATGTATGTACACATGCAATCTTAACAACTCATCACATAATTCAACATATTTTGAATTATCTTCACAATATTGCACAACATACATCTTTCATGCCAATCAATCACATATTCACAATCTCATAGTATAAATCATCTCAACACATCATTATAACATGTAGCAATTAGATATAAATCATGCTATATTCAAACATCATCAAATTCCAATACTTACATACACAATTCAAGTGTTAAGTTTCTCATCAAAACATTTCCAAAATCAATCCAAAACACATCGAAATAAATTATTAAAATTCATGTAAATCCATGATAAATCATAACATACAAGATCCCAATTCCATTCATGCATAAAATAATTTTTCTGTGTCCAGCCACCCGCGCTAAGCGCCCCATGCGAAAACCAGAAAAATTTGCTACGAACAACTACTGACTTGTGTACGAAAAGTACCATAGAGACATGTTCTAATGCCCATTTTCATCAAATAAATATATTCTAAAATGTATACATCATAGGGAACCTATTTATATTATAAAAACTAGATTTCAAAAAACCTAATTTCCAAATCCCTAAATCAACTTGGGTGATTCAAAACCTAGAAATTTACATACCCAATCATATTATATGTTACTATCCATCATATACTCCCATAATAACATATATTATCACCCTTAACTTGAGTGTAGAGTCTTTAGGGTTGCCTCTTCACTTTTCCTCTTTCTCCTCTTTCTCCTCTTCTCTTCTTTGTTTTTGTTTTTGTTTTTATGACAACACTAATTCTAATCCCTCTTCTTATTACTCTATTTAATTAATGAGCCTAATTCACTTACCCATTTTATTATGACATAAAACTCAATTCTAATTATTTTCTATTCTTAATCATAAATTCAACTATTCAAATAACACATATGTTCAAATAATTCAAATATTCACCAAACCACACAATTAAATTAATTATTATATAATATACTAATTAATAAAATAATTAAATAATACTAAATAAAAATCAAGATATTACATTTTTTTTCTCTTAAATGCAATATTTGAATTAGCAAAATTCTTGGTTTACTTTCGACTGGCTACACAACCTTTCATACGGACATGTGAAATTTGAATTAGATGCTAACATAGTTATAAATATTTTTCATTTCTCTAAAAGAGATTACACAAAATTTAGTGATATTATTAATAATCACTAACAACTTTTTTTCTACACATTTTAACAACTCCAATGTGTAGTTTATCAAGAGACGAGCAAATGATATAAATTTTGATAAAAAATATTATATTATATCAAACATATTTCAATAAATAAAATATTCTAATTTAAAAAAAAAATCAACATATGTACAGATGATTACCCAATTCATTGTAACAAAATTATAATAAAAATATAAAACACTTTGACACCGAATTTGATATTTTCATTCAAATCTTACTAGAATTAGTATAATTTTAGATTTGTGAATCAGAATAATATATAAAATTAAAATTGTTAATCTTTTTATCGATAAAATTAAAATCGTCTTAAAAATCATATATTTTTTCACGATCAAAATTTTAAAGTTTTTTATTATTATTTTTATTTGTTATTATAATTTTTAAATTATTACTAAACACATATAAAATCTTTTCAAATCTTGTAAATCAATAAAAGAAATAGAAATCTTAAAAAATTATGCTACAAAATCTATTAAAATTCAAATTCAAAATTCTAGTTGTAGAAAATCTCAAAAGTTAATACTTCTTTACAACTTTTCAATATCTTTTTTTTTTTGTGGTCAAAACAACATGTTATTAAAATTTAATTTAAATTCAATATGATAATAAGGGAAAGAATATATCACCTTGAGTTGAAGTAGCTTTACCATTACCATTTAGTTTCTTAAATTAATAATTAGAAATAAGAGATGATTTAAAAAGGAAGAAGAAAAAGCATAAGAAATATTTTATAAAAAATAAAAGTAAAATTTGTAAGAAATTATAAAAAAAATAAAAAATAAAAAATAAAAAATTGAAACGTGTGTTCATTTTGATTCCATAACCTAATTAATATGAATCCCCTTTCTTCCCCCTGATATATGAAATGAAAGTTGCCACTTTCTTCTCTCTTGAATGAATGAAACCCAAACTTCTCACTCCGTAAACCTCCAACGACACCGTTTCGCTATCAAAACGACGGTGTTTTCCTCGTTTTCATCGTCATAGTATCGTCGTTTTCATTCGGCAAGTAATTCCTCAACTTGTTCTACTCTTGTTCGTCTCACGATTTCGTTTTCTATTATTTTTTTTTAACATCAATTTTCATCGTCGTCTTCATCGTGATTTTCACATCGAATAGCAACGTTGACTTTTGTTTTTCAGGAATGGAGCAAGCGGTTTTGGATGACATAATCAATCGGCTCCTTGAAGTTCGTAGCCGGCCCGGGAAGCAGGTTCAGTTGTCGGAGGCGGAGATCCGTCAGCTCTGTGCAGCTGCCAGAGAGATTTTTTTGCATCAACCTAATTTATTGGAACTTGAAGCACCTATTAAGATTTGTGGTATATTTTCTTTGTTTTGAACTCCGTGTTGTTCTTTTGTTGGTTTGTTCGTGGATTTTGATGATCTGTTTTAGAATATGCTAATGTTTTGCTTGGGTTTTCTTGTTGTTTCATTATTATTGTGGTGGTGTTTCCGTATTCTGTGCGCGGTTTTCAAATTTACTTCCTCATTGTATGTGTTTTTTGGGGTAATTTGTATTGTGTATGCTTGCTTATTAGTGAGTGTGTTGCTTAGACTGTATAAGTAACATGATTTGTGGGAGATACTGCTTTCTCCTTTTCTTGATATTATACTAGTTACATAGATATAAGTTGTTTAGTTGTTGTTAATTGTAGTGCTATATAAGCACAAGTTAGCATCAAATTGTTTTCATGTTTTTCAATGAGTTTTGATTGTCTGATTAAGATCTCTCTGACACACACTTTCTTCAAACCATACTTTTATGGTATCAAAGCTCCATCGATGGAGCTCACAACCTACACGCTTACTCTCATCTCCATTGAAAGTTGAAAGCTTGCAGCCTTTTGCCTCTTTCATGCCTCTTTTACCTTTAGTCAAATTTATCAAATACTTCGACCGTTTTTCTTTTTATGCTTTTCAATTGGATTGAATTAAGACAATAAGACCATGTTTTGTGCATGTCTTCCCATAGTTATTTTACCTCCACATAGGAATACGGGTTGGCTGATGATGCTGGTGAAGCTTATTTATTGAAAAAAAAGGCCAAACCTTAAATTCAGTGTTCAGTATTCTTAAAATCAAATGCTTCGATCTAACAGTTTGTTTTATGAAATAATTGGAAAAAAGGCTGTATCAATTGTTCTCACCTATTTGATTATTTATTTTACACTGAAATGTAATGCAGGAGAAGAACAATGTTATCACTTTGAAGCAAATAAAAGCATTAGATGCAAACTATTTAGGTAGTTAATTACGGGCAATAGCGCTGCAGCCGCAGGCCGCCACGTATTACATATGCACAAAGAACAGATCGCCACATGATATTGTGTGTATCATGTCCGTTACAATGGATTCAAAGTAAAACCCCAACACACCCTTAAAAATTGAGACTTTTGAAGGGTATTCTTGATATTTTGCATGCTAAACCCTACCCTGTCCTCTTCTCTTCACTCCTTCTCTGCGATGCCCTATGATTACTTCCTGCTTCCTTATTCTTTGCTGCGTCTCCTACTCCGTTCTTGTTTTTTTTCTGCCACTGTTGATACTCGCTGTGAATCCCACCGTCCCAATGAACTGTTTTATTTTATCCTCTTTCCCATCTTCTGTTTCTCTAATTTATTACCTCCTTTGTTCTGCTTAGTCGTCCTCTTTCTCATCTGTTTCTCTGATTTTTTTCGCACTGCTTCGAACTTCTGGCTTTCCCCTCAAACCCCTCTGTCCGACTCCCCCCTCCCCCAGCTGTATTGACATTGTTCTACATTAATTTTAATTGTTCCCTTGCTTTCTTTGTTTTCATTAGTGTTCAAATGTATTTTGACTAAAACACGAGGCTTTTTTTTCAGTATAAATATTTTTTGAGTTTTGAGTTATTCACTTATTTGTTTAATTTCATATTGAAGATATTGTATTTGATTATATTATCCCACTTTTACATTTGGCCCCTCTGCGCCACTATTCGGGATTGGCTACCCAGGATGCAAATTGAAATCTGTGGTTGAAGATATGTTTTAACATTGCAAAATTTTACTTATTATATGTCCAGTACATGTAAAATCTGTGGTTGAAGTCTGGAAGATATGTTTAACATTGCAAAATTTTACTTATTATATGTCTAGTACGTGTAAAATCTGTTTTACTGTTTAGGAAATTGAAATTTTCATGCCATGATGTGCATATAAGACGCGTTTCTAATCTGGATAACATAATTTTTTTTCTGCTGACATGTAACTCCTTTATCTTGTTAGTTTCGTTTTTCTCCCTTATAAGCACACATGTGGCGGTAAATTGGTACATGCCCTGTATGTATACTGAGGTTCTGTTTTGGAATATCGGGCTTAGTGTAGACTATTATTGTATCTAGGAGTTTACTTGTTCAAGCTAACTTAAGCAGAGTTTACTAGAGAACTTGTGTGCAAACTGCTGCATAGAGAAAAATTTCCTTGATATGGTAGTGCATGACTATTATCGAAGGTTGTGCAAGAACCGCATTTTCAAGTTTCTTTGAAATGGGTCATATTTGTTAAACTGTAATGAGTCAATATAATTGTCTCAATGCCAACTTTGTTGTCTCAAGATCAAAGATATTGTATCTGAGATTATAAAATTGTGTGACTTCCCTAAGCAAAATATTTGATCTTGTGATTTTATTTCTTCTATATAATAGATTTGGTCTGAGGTTGTCTGCCCAATCCTTCTTTAGTATCATCTTACACTTAGCCAGTTAAACCAGGGTTGATATCGAACAACTGAAAAAAATGACGGTAGTGTTACAGTTGGATTCTGTTAGGACCCCAAGTGAGAATGCGGGCCTAACTGAAATGATGAAGGGAATAATCAATCCATACTATCCTAGAGCATAGCTCCTCAGAAAATGTAAACTACATACGAAACATAAATGATTCTCCCTTCATTCCCTTTTCTTACTTTTCCTATCTACTTATAACAGAATGGTCACACAACACTTGCTCGCTCCTCAACTCTTGCCACATCTCATTCTTTCCTTCCATTTCCTATATTCTTCCAACATCACATTCCACACAATGGGCTTGGACAACTGGTTTACTAATTGCCTATTTGGGTCCACATTCTCATTTGGAGTCCTAACAGATGCCAAGGTTGAAACTTCAAAATTAAAATACAACCCTCTACCTATGTTTAAAATATTTAAGTCTCACATTGGATGAGATAGCCCAAATTCTAAGACAGTATTAGAGCCTATTCAAGTTTCATTAGGCCACCCGCTATCAGGTCGCCACTATTAGACCACTCTGGCCACAGTCTAGATGTACAGTCCTGGGTGTGAGAGAGGTGTGTTAAGAGTCTCACATTGAATGGGATAACCCAAATTCTATGAAATTTGCAATGCCATCTGCCAACATAAGTTACATGCAAATTACCAATGACCAAATAAGTGCATAATTGAATTTAAAAAAAATCGTTTTGAAGTTGAGAAACTTTCCTTCAAGATGGTAAAGGCATCCGGTAAGAACGAAAACCAATTATGGGGCATTGGCATTGCCTTCTTTTTCTTTTTTTAATTATTCTTTTTGAATATGCTATGCCTTTTCATTAATCTTCTTCTTGAAATATGATTTTTGGTTGCTCAAAGTAATGTTGATGACTTGGTGATTGGGATTTTATATTCATGAATTCATAACCGTGCTGTTAGAAGCAATTATTTGAAATGATAAAACTTTAACAAGTGAAGCTATATTTTGGCTCTAAAATTCTAGGGTCTTGTCATGTTAATCTCTGAAATTAAGAAGGTAACATTAGTCATTCTGGACTAAAATGAATCACAACCTACAATGTTTTTTTTTTGCCAATTTCTTAATTTCTAGGACCAACATGCTAGCGCCTTAAAAATCCAGAAACCAACTTGATGCTTCACTCAAATTCCAACCATAATATCCTTCATGTACGATCCACTATGTAGTATTTGGTATCCGAATTCTACTAACCTGAGTTGACCTAGGTGAATCTTGCTTAAAGGGAATTGACTCCGTGTCACTAGAACAAACGGGGATTGGTCAAAAGTATATACTAATGAGATTTATAAACGGAAAAGTAAAAAATAAATGGAAAATAGGACCTAGCAATATAAAAGGTTGCTTGAATTGGATGTATCCGTGTGCATGACATTGTTTTGGCACATGAAATACAAAGATCTCCATTTATATAAATATTATCCATATATTATAGTCCCTTGTATTATCATCACCATATCATATTTTGTTTTCAGAATTGAAAGTATCTTATTGGTGGAATAATTTCTGAATATCCTTTTGCTAAATCTTTCAGGTGACATACATGGTCAATATTCTGATCTTCTAAGGCTTTTTGAGTATGGTGGGTTACCTCCTCAGTCCAACTACTTGTTTTTGGGTGATTATGTGGATCGAGGGAAGCAAAGTTTAGAAACAATATGTCTTCTCTTAGCATATAAAATAAAATATCCTGAGAATTTTTTTCTTTTGAGGGGAAACCACGAATGTGCTTCTATTAACCGTATATATGGATTTTATGATGAGTGTAAAAGACGGTTCAATGTAAGGGTATGGAAGGTGTTTACAGATTGCTTCAATTGCCTCCCTGTGGCAGCTCTCATTGATGAAAAGATTTTGTGCATGCATGGCGGGCTTTCTCCCGACTTACATAATTTGGATCAAATTAGAAATTTACAGCGGCCGACTGATGTGCCTGATACAGGTTTGCTTTGCGATCTCCTGTGGTCAGACCCTAGCAAAGAAGTTCAAGGTTGGGGAATGAATGACAGGGGAGTGTCATATACATTTGGTGCTGATAAGGTCTCAGAATTTCTTCAGAAACATGATTTGGATCTTGTTTGTCGTGCTCATCAGGTTAAACTTTTGCTTTTGTTTCTCAATATGTTGCTGGGTATTCTGGGCTGAGTTTGTATCCCCATTTCTATTTCTATGATATGAAAATGAAATATATTTCAAGCAATCCAAATCTTTCTCTCGGGGTTATTCTAGTTACTTTATTTATGTGAACTTAAGTTATTCTTTGATACTTTTATGCATTGAGGATTAAAATCCCCCTTCAAATTATTTATTACATATGTATGACACTTCATTATGTAAATTCCTGTATTGGTATTAAACAATAGTACACCTCAATTATCTGTGCTATTAACTTTAAATTGCATTATTATCTTTTTACCAGGTGGTGGAGGATGGATATGAATTCTTTGCTAACCGGCAGCTTGTAACAATATTTTCGGCACCTAATTACTGTGGGGAGTTTGATAATGCTGGTGCTATGATGAGTGTTGATGAGACACTGATGTGCTCTTTCCAAATATTAAAGCCAGCTGATAAGAAAGCAAGGCTCAATTTCGGAAGTACAACAACTGCTAAACCAGGAAACTCTCCAGCAGGGGTAAAGGTAGGAAGATAGTATAATATTTGCAGATGCCAATTCCATGCATCTCGACATTTTCTCTGTCTTCTAGCTGGGACTCTATTTGTCTATGTATTATGGAGCTTATATTAGATTAGATAAATGTATGGTCATTCTTCTAGAATCTGGTTTATTTTAAAAAGTAATTATAAACGTAAGTGCTTATCATGACAACACAGAATTTGGAGATTGACTCAGTTGAAGTAAACTTTTGCTGTTCTATGATTTATTTCATGAAAAGTATTTTTCCAGTGAACGGTAATGATCTGAGATTTTGTGTGATGGTCGTTCAAGAAAACATCTGGGGCACTGAATTTAGCAATGGAAAAAGCTACATACATGGAGATTTTCTAGTGAGAATTCTGAAGCAGCCAAAGCCATTGGGTGAATCAATTGTTTCAATTGCTCCCGACTTGTATACAGATACACTGTTGCATTCATTTTTCTTCCTGTATGAAGATTTTTTTGCTAAACACCAATCACTTAATATAGATTATGGCTATACTGCGCGAGCTTGCATCACTATTGTCCATGTTTTATATTTTTACTTGTTTGTTATGTGTTTGCAAAATATATATTTAAGTTTCAGCCTTTTCTGCTTTCTTGCAGTCCTTCCTTGGTGCAAAAGTATGAAGTTGATTTTGGCGAAAAGATTGCTGTCACAACTGGTCTGCGAAGGAAAGTTGAGCTCCATATGTTATTTTGGAATTGTAAAAGCAAAGGGAAATGCTGTCATGAACTATGTAGACCATTGTTTTTCACTGTTACAAATTTGTATTTTGAGATTTAACAGCCCATGATCTCTTCCGTGTTTTCTTTGTACACTAATTTCTGGTATATGTTATTATGAGTTTTAAGCTTATCAAGCATTCATTGACATATATTCATCTGTTGCTGAAATTAAATGAAATGCTCATATATGATTGGTATATGGGTGGAAGTTGAGAATAAAGGATGGGATTAATTGATATGCATTGAAAATGCAATTTTTTCATACATGAGATTAATTGATGTCATTTTGTTCTTTTACTTATTAATAATGGCGAGATTTAATTTGTTGAATGTGAAATTTTTTTCCACAAAATGTGCATATAATTTATATTGAAAAATGATATTGTTCTTTTAATTATTAATAATGGTGAGATTTAATTCGTTGAGTACTTCAAAGAATTTTTTTTACTTAAAATTTTATTATTCTTGAGACTAATTAATTCAAATGGACTATTTCTATCATTAGCAGCTAACAGGCTGTACATTTAAAGGTAGCTCTGTATTGATTCAAGACATTAGATTGCACTGAAGTGAGACATGGCATCCACACATTTTCTGGTGTGTTGCTTGTTTGGTTCATGTTCTTGGGGTTAGGACGATAGAGGTACAAGAATAATTGTCAAAACAATTGGCTGATGTTGTGGTGGATTTTTTTGGTCTTAGGAATGATAATTGTTCAAGGAAGTAAAGTTGATTAATGCCTTAGTGACTAGGTTAGCAATTTCAGAGACATTTGGAAGAGCTTATTTTAAAGTTATCTTATAATATAAATACTTGAAAATTTCTTATTACACCCTATATACTCAAGAAACACCTTATGCAATATCTAAGAAGTCCCTATGTTTTTGGAGATACATCTAAAAAGTCTCTATATTTTTGGAGATGCATATTCGAGAATGTGTCAGAGATGTATTTCTCAAGATTATGCATACATAATCAGACCATAATTTTTAATGTTTATCATGTTTTAACTACAAAATAAATACAAAGACTATATTCAAGACTATATTAACGCAAGACTATATATATAATAGTCAAGACTATAAAATGTATCTAAAGTCAATAAAATCGATAATCAAAATATTATCTAAATACAATTCAAAGTCGATAAATAAAATACTATTCAAAGTCGACACTGCGTATCTCGGACTATGAGTCGGCCCCACACTCTCCTCATGTTCATGCGTTGTTTCTTGTACTGCAAAGTCTCTCGAGTCTTTGTCATAATGACATCCAAAATACCTCTCACCCGAGAGCCATCAGAAAACAGTCTTCCATCAATACCCGCCTGTCCAATTTCCACGATACGACAACATCTAGGCAACACATCATGAGCATGATCGGTCTAACCCGTTCCTCCTCTAGAATCTCCTGATGAACTGACCCATGTGAGTTTTCTGGAGCATCATGTACCAAATATGAATGGGACACCTTGAAAAACCATCAGATGTAACGTCCACGTAGCTCTAGTCGTTCGATGCTATGGTACTCTGTACCTCATCTGGTACCAGATGATTAACATAATCATCAAACATGACATTCATATCCATACGTTTCACATGGGAAGGAGCAAACACAACAAAATCTTGGAAATATACTTCATGTAGTCGAACTGACGCATGACAAACTCAGACAAATGAGCAGCGGTCTTACGCGACCTGCATGCCAACTATCCCGAGTATAACACAATGTCAAATTGAATAGTCACACAGTGGTCGATCTATGAATAAAAATATATATCATTAAATACCAAACAGTCTATATACTCCCTGAACGGATCTGTCACCTAGTTCCCTATAAGCGGGTCGAATGCATAAGCACACAACTTATCTTTGATGTAAAAAGAATTATCACAACAAGAGGGGTTGGATTGTGCCCTTTTTAAAATTATAGTTTATAGTAGTGTTATAAGACTTACTTGAGGACAAAACTATATTATGAGTATACGAAATGAAGTGGTTTATAGCTAACAAGATTAGTTAAAACAATTAGTAATATGTGAGAAAGTATTTATTTGTGTGTTTGTGATATACTTATACTATAATATTTGAGTACTCACTATATGGCAGTGAGGATATGAAATGAATCTGAGGCTTATAGTATGTTTACAATAAGCTTAAAGTGCTCACTATATGGCAGTGAGGATATGAAATGAATCAGAGGTTTATAGTATGTTTACAATAAACTTTAAGTGCTCACTATATGAGAGTGAGTATATGAAATGAATATAATATGTATGATTCTTTTGATTGATAATGTTTCTGATTTTCTCTAGTTGGTTTGATATGTTTGAAAGAAACATGAGTTGTCTTTTATAGAAGAACAAATAAAACTGTTGAAACATTTGTCAAGCATATCCTTTGTCTTTCTTCGTAATTACGAAATGGTCCAGAGGATATGAATAGATACTTTTAGATGTCCTCTAGAAGATCTTGACAAAATATGAGGAGTACACTTTTTATACAGTACTTGTGGCTCCTCAGATACTGGTTATCCTCATATGTTTCTTATCCTCAGATACTGGTTATCCTTAAATGTTTCTTATCCTTGAGAGTAGCTTATCCTTTAATACAGTTTGTGAGTCTTCAAGTTGCATGAAGCCTTTGTTTGAGAAAGTCTTACTAAGTCTTTTGATTGCTTGGTAGTTGAATTTATTTAAAGTGACTTGTATTAGAGTTTCTGTAGCAAAATAGTTTGTTAGATTCAAAACCAGAATATGCTTCAACCTTTTCCCCCTTTTTGAATGGTGACAAACTATTTATTTTATATCCTTGATGAGAGCTGTTTAGTTTTTAGAAACTCCCCCTGAAATTATACATGCTTTTGAAGAACAAAATGCTCCCCCTTAATGTTAGTAAACAAATACAATAGTTTTAACAGTGAGAAGTATTTGCATGATATAAAACTTTTAAGGATAATTTTATAGATAATATATTTATACATAATTTTTTTTTGAGGATCAAATACATTGTCATCAATACTTTGGTTCACAAACAAAAAGGATCCAGTTTCAAACTAAAATCCGCTAGATAAAGAGACAAATAAAGCAAAAGCTTGATAAGCTAATTCTCCCTCTTTTGTCAGCAGGCAAAAAGAAAGGGGGGGGGGACAAAAGAGTAGACAAAACAGATTGAGACACTAATGAGCTGGGCCTCATCGTCTGAAGTAACTTCAGAGGATAAAAGGAGTTATGGATACAACATGGTTGATATGTCAGGAGCAGGGAGTCCAGGGAAGCGAGGGAAGACTTTTGTAGTAATGCAGTCAGCCCAAAAAGCATCACTTACCGACCTGTGTTTCTGAAGAGCAGTCATTGTCCTTACATATATGTTATTATTAGGGTTTAGAGGATCAGACGGCGTGGGGGATTTAGGATGAACAGGTGGACGAGTGTTCATGTCGGAGATGCCATGGAAGAATGTTGAGTTTAAGGAGGTTATCCTAGCAGAATCAGGTAGTAGAGTGTTTGAATCACTCATGGTATTACATGGTGGAGAGGAGTCATATTTAGGAGGTAGCCGTATAATATCTATATCAAAGCTGGTATCTCCATTCTTTGGGGAGGATAAAATTGGGGACTCAACACTTAAAGAGGCTTGAGCAGTTTCAACAATAAGAAGATCAGAGTCAACATTAGGAATGCCATAGTGTTGTTCCACGATTTTCTTTTCATGATGAAAAAACAGTGTACCAACTTGATGATTGAATTCTTCAGAGATTGTTTCTAGTGCAACAATTTGGGAAGGATGGGTAGAGACATCTTGATTGGTTTCTCTGGAAGGAGAGGGTATGGTGATAGTGGAAAGAGCAGTGATGGTTGATGGTTGAAGTGGGAGTGGTAGATTTGCAGTTTGTTGGGTGGGAATCAGTTCAGCTTCCAGCATGGATATCATTGAAGATAATTGAGTTGTGGAGTGGATATTGGGTGGAGGTGAAAGAGCATTGGACGAGAGGATAACTAGGAGAGGATTAAAGTCAGGAATATTCTCATTATTTTGAAGCTTATACTTATTGACCAGATTTATATCCTCAAAAGTTTAGTTTATATCCTCAGTAGTTGGATTGGTATCTTCAGAGGTTGTTAATTCAACAAATATACTCTCAAGGCCAGACAATGTAGAATTGATTATTGGAGAGACTGTTGCTTTAGGATAAGAGATATCCTTAGCCATTGGGCTTATAACATAGAGTGGATCTATGTTATAAGCCTAAATATTATGGTCCTTAACCTAATTTTGACCATTTTTCCCTTTTGAAGATTTGATCAAATTTCTTGAGGAATTATGGTCCAAACTTGATCAAATGATACATATGAGTTTAAAATGTTTAAGTGGATAAAAAATTATAGAGTTTGACTGTAAATTGGCCACAATTGACTTTTTCCCAATACAATTGATTTTTAGGTCAACTGCTCAAATGACTGAGCAAAAGTGTGATTCAAAGCTTGAAACTTGGCATGGGTAAACTTGAGGGTCCATAATGATCCATGAAAGTCACACGGGGCATTAGAAGTTCAAATATCCTTGTGAAATCTCAAACCCTAATTTTGGTCATCAGTGCTTAAGGAGATGTCTTGAGCTGATCAACCCTAGTGCAGTCCTGAGCCAAAGGAGATTTTGTGAATAAATTCTTGATAAATGAGAGAGCAAATTTTGGGGTACAACAATTAGCATTAAAGGTTCCTGAAAATTCTCCGTTCACCAAAAGATATGGTCGACTTCTCAATTTGGTTACCTCAAGCTTTGAAGAAGACATGATGAGGATGCTCTTTCAGTTCTTTGACCTTGTACATCATTGTTTCACCTTTCCCGAATATCAATTAGTACCCACAATGGAAGAATTCTCTTAACTATTAGGGGTAC